ATGCTCTAATAAATTCGTTAGTCTCTAAGGTGCCACAAGTACTCCTGTTCTTTTTACGGATACAGACTAACACGGCTGCTACTCTGAAACAAAAATAAAAGGTATCACACTTTCAAAGTGGACCCATTTTTCAAAGCTTATATTATAATTTGGTTTTTTATCTGAAGTTTACACTATCCACAGGTTTTTATCTTGAATTCAGCATAGCTATTTGGTTATTTGACATTTTAATTTAACGATGCTGTACCTTTCTGCATCCACTAGAAAGCATGCTGTGCTTTCCTGTATCCACTAGATGGAACTCATCTCCTTACACAGAGAAGTGAAATCATAGGGTGAAATCCTGGCCCCAGTGAACTCCCATTTATGGGAGTTTTGCTACTGATTTTAGAGGCCAAGATTTCACCCAGAGCATCTGCTGCTGTGAGGGGTCAAATACTGAATGCAATGGGAGCCGAGGTGCTCAGCACCTTTCAGGATCAGGCTTTTATTCCCTTGGGGCCATTAGATCAGCACACACTGATTTTATAATTTGTGATCTATAATGACTCTTTTTCTCCACAGCTCCTTTCAATTATCCCATATTCCTAATGCCCAAATCCTATATTGTGAGAGACTGCTCTAGTTTAGGACTCTGTGAGAACAGAGGAAAGTACACTCAAGTCATGACAGGTAAGGATATGTTTACACTTACGTAGCGCCTTTCAGATGAGGATCTCACACCACTTTACAAACCGGGTAATTATCCCCATTTTATAGATGGGGAAGTTACGGCTTAAAGAGATTAAATGACTTGCCCCAAGGTCACATAGCCAGTCAGTAGCAGAACTGAAAATAGAATCCAAGATTCCAGACTCCTGGCCTATGCCTTAGCCAGTTAGATCTTCTTGATCACTGGTCCCCTGCTCTAGCCACTAGAGAACGTTCACAAATAAGTGGAGGAACAGACCAGTCAATAGTATGGAAGATCACAGGGTACAAGAAGTTAAATTGTATCAGTCCACCCCTCTAAAACTTGTAAAAAAAACTGTTAACCACTCCTATTCTACCTTTTTCTCCATTCTTTCTCAGGGTTAGGCTCATAGGTACCCGAGACACTTAGTAAGGCACACTGATGGGTATGTGGCCCACTGTATTATGACTTTTTTTGTTTGTTGTCCAGATACCGCTGTTCACTTTTCTCAGGAAAGCTAGAGAAGCAGATATACGGGGATGTAGGCAAGTGACAATTCATGTAGACCAAGTCTGTCAAGCCCCCAAGAGTTTAGGGGTTGTTGTAATTTAGCAGTGGTTCAAATTTTACAAGTGTGTCTCTACTAACCAACCCCTTAGATAGGAATAGCCCTGAATTGTGCAGACCTCCAAATTCAGATCTGAACTCTGAGGCTTGAGCCTATCTTGATTTGCAATAAGATACTACACTTCTTGCAGTGGGGAATGGTAGATAAACATGTTTTCCAGATGGACTGATTTAATGAAGTAGACAGAGCACAGGTTGTTCAAACAGGAAGTGATTTTCCACTTAGTTTACCTAGTCTTTAAATGACAGATGAGTGAATGTGATCAATCCCACGTTGTCTCAGCAACTCTCTCCAACTTGGAGAGAATGTTTTCTTTCCTCCTGTCGTAGTAGAAAAATCTCTGTCACACACACGGAGCCTAATCTTTTTCCCACTGATGTCAAGGAGATTTTTGCCATTGACTTTTACAAGAAACAGGCTCCTGGGGATCAAGGATCTATGTATCTGCCTATAATTATGAGCCACTAAAATCAAACTTAAATGACATGAACAAGACACTACAATTAACACTGACTTCTACCATTTAGCAGTAGACTTTTTACAAACTCTACAACTATATTGTTCAAACCAGCTGATATTTTCCTTGGACAAGGTGGGGAAAGTGCAGAAAATAATTTAAATGGTATCTTTATTGAGGTATTCTGTCCTATTTGCTTACTGCTGCTAATGTGCTTGACCCCTCTAAAATACCCAAAAATAAAAGCAGTCTCTGACCTAGAGAGCTTAGCGTCTAAACAATAAAAAGATAGGTTGTACTAGGAAAGCCAGTGATGGGGAGGCTGATAAAGAAGGTAAATAAAATACTACATATGTGAAAAATAAATGTAGTAAACTCTAGCTAGATGCTAAAATTTTGCATACAATGGTTTCATTTCAACTCTGAGAACCAATGAATGGGACAGATTTTATTGTAACTATCAAAATGCCTACTAGCAATTTGTTGAATTTGATAGGATTATCATGCAGCATGTTAAATTATCTGGAATTTTTTATAGCTCAAATAGGCTAAATTCTGTCTGAAAGAAGATAATTCCCACTTCCTTTTTCCAAGACTATATTTTGGCATCCATATCCCAATACGCAGCATTTGACAGTAGTAAATATTTTGTAAGTGTTGTTAAAGAATACAACTAGCAGAGTGTAACCAGAATTAACCACCTGATTTAGTATTTATTTCAAAAATAGACATGCAGTAGTTTGCTTCTCACTTGCCTGAGTACGCATCAACATTTCTCCTTTTCCCTTTTCTATTTCTTGCTTCCTTCAGTATCTCTGACACATAAAGTAATGCATTTTAAAACACCCCTGGGTTTCCTTTGTTCTAGCCCACTTAAACACATCTCAGTAGCTTTCAGAGTGTTCATTTTGCTTCTTCAAAAGATATCCATTAATTTAATAATAATACATTGCACTTATATTGCCTTCCACCTAAAGCACTTTATAAATGTTAATTAACTGCACAATTTTTTTTGTCAGTAAGGAGGAGCAGCCCTATTTAGGGCCTGATCCAAAGTCCATTGGAGCCTATTAGAGTCTTTTCACTGACTTCAATGGGCTTTGGATCAGACTCTCACACATGGAGACATTAAAGCAGAGAGAGATTAAGTAACTTTACCAAGGTTACACAAAAAGTCTGCAGCAGACTTTTGAACCCAGAGCTCCCATTTCAGTGTCTTAATTGCATGACTGTCCTTCCTCCCTTTCAACCTCTGTAACTACAATAGACGAGAGGTTCATGCAATAGTGTACGCTAATTTTGGAGACCACACAGAGAAACCACACTCCCCCATTGAGTTTCTGTAGCCACCCTTTCCTCAGTTCAGGTTTTTCTATGCCATTGCATTTTGGGGGCAGACAGGGACCTAATTTTATTTTTGTGGTTTATTTTTTTCCCAAGGAATTTTACCTGAGTGGATGAATAAGAGTTATGGTCATTTACATGGGGACAAAGAGAAGAGATGATCTCTACGATAATTGAGTTGTAGCGAATTTGGGTACGGCTGAAAACAACACAAGAAGACCCCATCCCACCTGTTGTATTTAGTGGTGCTGCTTGGAAACCTGTCTTCAGAAATGACTAGTTTTGGAGGGCTGCAGAGTTTGAATGGCTCAGTTACTCATCCTAGAAAGCGACAAAGAGTCCTGTGGCACCTTCTAGACTAACAGCCGTATTGGAGCATAAGCTTTCGTGGGTGAATAACCACTCTGTCAGACGCATCCTAGGTGTCTTTCAGACAATCGAGTATGGATCAACACGGGCTGCCTCCAGCAACCTGCTGCTCTTCCTCTCAGACCGGACATGGTGCAGAGTTGGCAACTGAGTTGATGAAAGAAGAGGAGGGGGGATGCATGCAGCTATCAGAATTGAGGAGAACCAACACCATACATGGCTCATATAAATATCACAGCCTCCCCAGTGCCATCCTTTGGTTAAGGGATGAGGGAAAGTCAGAGACAATAAGCAGAGCCCCCTGAAAACGAGAGAACGTCGAACTGAACGAAAGGGGTCACTGCTGAAAGTGCTGCATGTGAATCTAGTTATCCGCTCCTTGGAGTTCAAAATTAGCAGGGCTCCGAGGTTAAACTGAAGGCTTTAGCTACTGTATCTAAATGGTCACTTGCCCAACCGCCTTCCCTTGGTTTTGGGAAGCCTTAGGCATGAGTTCATGTTTAAACACAAGCGGGCTAGTACTGGAGTCATGCTAGCAATGGCCATTAGCATAGACGGAAAACATCCTGCAGCTCAAAGGAGGATTTTCTCTCTCTCTCTCTCTCTCTCTCTCTCTCTCT